ACTTTCTACTGCAAGTCAAGCAATGGACTTGCCTTTTTCCGGACAAATCTGCTTAGAACCCGACTATTTTTGAGGCTCTGATTTTGGCAGCACGTTAACAAAATGCTAACGGCCAATGAGCATCCAAGGCCTCATAGCTCAGTGGTTAGAGCACTGGTCTTGTAAACCAGGGGTAGTGAGTTCAATTCTCACTGAGGCCTCATTGCATGTAAGTGAGTTCCTGTTGTCTGTGTACTTGTCAGTATCCTTCAAATGTGGAACACATCACTTCTCTTTATTTTTCGACTGCAATGGACTTGGCTTTTCCTGGACAAATCTGCTGAGAACCAGACTGGTTTGAGGCTATAATTTTGATGGCATGTTAACAAAAATGATAAGGGGCACCTAGCATCCAAGGCCTCATAGCTCAGTGGTTAGAGCACTGGTCTAGTAAACCAGCGGTCGTGAGTTCAAGTCTCACTGAGGCCTTACCACATCTCAGTGAGTTCCTGTCATCTCTGTCAAGCAAATATGTGCACTTGTCAGTATCCTTCAAACATAAACATCACTTTCTACTGCAAGTCAAGCAAAGGAATTGGCATTTCCTCTAAAAGTCTGCTGAGACCTGACTATTTTGAGGCTCTGATTTTGGTAGCACGTTACCAAAAATGTTCACGGCCAATCAGCCTGCAAGGCCTCATAGCTCAGTGGTTCGAGCACTGGGCTTGTAAGCCAGGGGTCGTGAGTTCAATTCTCACTGAGGCTTCATCGCATGTAACTGAGTTCCTGTTGTCTGTGTACTTGTCAGTATCCTTCAAACGTTGAGAACATCACTCTCTTTTCCACTGCAAGTCAAGCAATGGACTTGGCTTTTCCTGGAAAAGTCTGCTGAGACCATACTGAGGCTCTGATTTTGGTAGCACATTCACAAAAATGTTCACGGCCGATGAGCCCGCAAGGCCTCGTAGCTCAGTGGTTAGAGCACTAGTCGAGTAAACCACGGCTTGTGAGTTCAATTCCCCCTGCGGCCTCATCACATGTAACTGAGTTCCTGTCATCTGTGTCAAGCAAATCTGTGTACTTGTCATCGATGTTCGAATGTCCTTTCTCTTCATTTTTCTACTGCAAGTCAAGCAACGGACTTGGCTTTTCCTGGAAAAGTCTGCTGAGACCCGACTGTTTAGAGGCTCTGATTTTGGGAGCACGTTACCAAATATGTTAACGGCCACTTAGCCTGCAAGGCCTCATAGCTCAGTGGTTAAAGCACTGGTCTTGTAAACCAGCAGCCGTGAGTTCAATTTTCACTAAAGCCCCATTGTGTATAAGTGAGTTACTGTCATGTATGTCCAACAAGTCTGTGGGCTTGTCAGTATCCTTCAAACATGGAGAACATCACTCTCTTTTCTACTGCAAGTCAAGCAAATGACTTGGCTTTTCCCGGACAAATCTGCTGAGGACCTGACTGTTTTGACTGTGATTTTGGTAGCACGTTAACAAAAATGGTAACGTCCAGCTAGCGTCCAAGGCCTCATAGCTCAGTGGTTACAGCACTGGTCTTGTAAACCAGCGATCGTGAGTTCGATTCTCACTGAGGCCTCATCACATCGAAGTGAGTTCCTGTTGTCTGTGTACTTGTCAGTATCCTTCAAATGTAAAAAACATCACTTTTCTTTATTTTTCGACTGCAATGGACTTGGCTTTTCCCGGACAAATCCGCTGAGGACCAGACCATTTTGAGGCTCTGATTTTGGTAGCACATTAACAAAAATGGTAACGTCCAGCTAGCGTCCAAGGCCTCATAGCTCAGTGATTAGAGCACTAGTCTTGTAAACTCGGGGTAGTGAGTTCAACTCTCACTGAGGCCTCATCACATGTAAGTGAGTTCCTGTCATCTGTGTCAAGCAAATCTGTGTACTTGTCAGTATCCTTCAAATGCGAACATAACTTTCTACTACAAGACAAGCAACGGATTTGTCTTTTCCCGGAAAAAACAATCTGCTCAGGACCTGACTATTTTGAGGCTGTAATTTTTGTAGCACGTTAAAAATGCTAACGGCCAATGAGCCTGTCAAGCCTCATATCTCAGTGATTACAGCACTGGTCTTGTAAACCAGGGGTTGTGAGTTCAATTCTCACTGAGGCCTCATTACATGTACAGAACTGAGTTTCTGTCATCTGTGTCAAGTAAGTCTGTGTACTTGTCAGTATCCTTCAATCGTGAAGAACATCACTTTCTCTTTAACTTTCTACTGCAAGTCAAGCAATGGATTTGGCTTTTCCCAGAAAAATCTGGTGAGAGCAGACTGTTTTGAGGCTGTGATTTTGGGAGCAGGTTAACAAAATTGCAATCGGCCGATGAGTCTGCAAGGCCTCCTAGCTCAGTGGTTAGAGCACTGGTCTCGTAAACCAGGGGTCATGAGTTCAATTCTCACTGAGGCCTCCTTACATGTATCTGAGTTCCAGTGATGTGTGTCAACCAAATCTGTGTACTTGTCATCGATGTTCAAATGTGGACGATGTCACTTCTCTTTATTTTCTTACTGCAACTCAAGCAACGGACTTGGCTTTTGCCCAGAAAAATCTGCTGAGACCCGATTATTTTGAGGCTCTGATTTTGGTAGCACATTAATTTTCAACAGGCACGAAAGATACATTTTTTTTTTTTATAAAAATCCCCATAAAATGAACATTAAATGAAAGAAGACGGCAATGTTCAAGGCACCATCAATAGCCCATGTTTTCTCTTTCCGCAAAAGTGGGCTAAATTTACTTCAAAGAAAAAAAATAACAGCCATCATTCACTGAAATAAACTATTTTAAAAATATAATTGGATTGAGATACAATAAAATAAAGTGCAAAAATCCAATAACCAAAAGCAACACTTTCTTCAAGGAGAAGTAACGTACACTGAAAACAAATATTAAACTTTAATTTTGAAACTTGAACTGAGTAAAAACTCTGAATATGTGATTGCACAGCAATGTTCTCTTCTTTGAGGCTGAGGATGATACTTGGTGGTGTCTCATCTTTTCTACAAGTTCATCAATATTTGGGGCCAGGCTCTGAGCTGAGGAAATCCCCAAAATTGAGTGAAGGTGTTCAGCAGTAAGTCAACTTCTGTGTGATGTTTTGTTCAGCTTCATCAAAGA